CAGGGCGTGGCAGCAGGGGACATCCTCTGCCGTGCACTGAAAGGTTGGTGGCTCAAGTCCACCTAGGGGTGCCTGGGAGGAAAGGCTTGCTGAGCTCCCTCTGAAAAAGAAAAGCCTTACCATTGAAAACCCCCACGGGGCACAGTTCCACTCTGGCCCACACGGGGGCTCCCAAGAGCCAGAAGCAACTCAGCCCTGGCTGGTGCAAATGGTTAAGCCCTGGCTCGTGCAAATGGTTAGGCACCAGACTAACCATGGAAAGCTGGGAGGTGCAAACCCTCCTAGAGGTGCCTCGGAAGAAAAGCCTGGCACTGTGCTTCGTAAAGGTCACAGCCGTGAAAACCCCGTGGAGCAGTTCTACTCTAGGGCAACCGCTCCCCCACTCCCACCCCACCAAGAGTGGGGCTTTGCCAGGCACCAGGCAAGTTTGCGTGGTTCCCGGAGAAGTAAGCCCTCCGAATCTGTCAGGTCGTTTCACTTCCTGATAGAGGAGGGAATGAAGGAGGCAGATACATGAGACAGGAGCGGGGGTCTCTGACGGAGACTGCCCGGGGACATTGGCAGTTCTGCGGGTGGGGACACATGACTTGCCAATGTTTTCTCCCATTCTTTGGGTTGTCTATTCACTGTCTTCATAGCACCCTTCGAGGCACAAGCGCTTGTGGTTTTTTCGTTAGTTTGACGTTTCGAGGAAGTCCAGTTTATCGAGCTGCAAGCGCCGAAGGAAAAACCCAAGCCTTGATGTGCAGTGTTGAAGGACTCTGTGGGAAGAATGTTGAACAGTGCAGGAAGCATCAAAAGAACGGGGAGAAATCCAAAGTCAGCGCTTACCAACAAGAACTGGCCGACTTCCAACCCTTTCAGGAGGCAGCATATGATCCAGCACCGATGGTATCCAAGAAGTCCAAGCTGCCCGGAAAGCATTGGCAAAAGCCCAGACCCTAGGAGCTAACAGAACGAATGGAAATGTTTCCACAAACGGAGGCAGTGCCGGAAGCGCTCATGTGCTGATGCCAAGATAACTGGAAGATCGTAACCTGGCCAACCAACTGAGAAGAGACACATATTTGTGCCCATTCCGGAGAAAGGTGGTCCAACGGAATGCAGAAATTGCTGAACAATCGACAGCATGTAAACTTTTGCTGAAGGTCCTTCAAAAATCGGCAGTGGTGCATTGCCAGGAAGCCGCCGGAAATTCAAACCGGCTTCAGAAGAGGCTATGGAGTGAGGAATAGTGCTGGTGTCG